TTTTTTATAAATATATATATTTATTTTTTATATATTATTATTTTTTATATATATATATATATATATATTTTTATATATATTTATTTTTTATAAATATATATATTTATTATTTTATGTAGATATTATTACTTATTATTTATTTATTTATATATATTATTTATTTCAGGTATCCTCTTACACCAATTGATAAATTATCCAACTTGATAAAGGAAGAAAATATATCAAGATGGGAGCTGTGAGATGGTCCAACAAATCTTTCTTCTTTGGAAGTCAAGATATGATTAGAAACTTGGTTCATTTAAATAAGTACAATAGTGATTTATCTTGTGTGATAAGAAAAAAAAATTTTGAAAAATGATGAAATTCTAGTATTCTGGTAAGGTATTTGTCGCTTTCTGTTAGTCCATGCGAATAGGTATGCGAAAAGATATACTTATTGTTGAAGCGTGTTCATAAACTGCGACCCAGTAAAACTAATAAATCTGTGAATACGCTTAATTAATGCGCCACGGCGGAATAACGCGGCTAAATGATCAACGATGCGCGGAGTTAATGACGCTAATGAGACAGTTTTAGCCATATAATCTAATTTCATAGAATCGTACGTGTCAAGGTGCTCCTCATTTTTATGCTCTATTCTTATTAACTCTTTTCTTTAATTAAGTCTCAATTTTTGTAGCGTTTGCTCACAATTAATAAGCCTTTAGAAAAACCCTTAAGGTATTTGATAAAGAATATATTTGATAAAAGAGTAACTTTTACTCTCAAAAAAATATATATATATATTTTTCTAATAGAAGTGTTTTCATGCTCTATTTTTATTAAGTCTTCTCTTTAATTAAATCTCAATTTTTTCAGCATTTGCTCGCAATTAATAAGCTTTTAGAAAAATCCTTATTTGATAAAGAATATATTTGATAAAACTTTTACTCTCAAAAAAATATATATATATATTTTTTCTAATAGAAGTGTTTTCATGCTCTATTTTTATTAAGTCTTCTCTTTAATTAAGTCTCAATTTTTCCAGCATTTGCTCGCAATTAATAAGCTTTTAGAAAAATTTTTATTTGATAAAACTTTTACTCTCAAAAATATATATATATATATTTTTTCTAATAGAAGTGTTTTCATGCTCTATTATTAAGTCTTCTTTATTATATATTTATTATATAATAAAGAATTTTTATTATATAATAGAATATTTATTATATATTTATTATATATATATTATATATTTATATATATTTATTAAGTCTTCTCTTTAATTAAATCTCAATTTTTCCAGCGTTTGCTCGCAATTAATAAGCCTTTAGAAGAACCCTTAAGGTATTTGATAAAGAATATATTTGATAAAAGAGTAACTTTTATTATCAAAAAAATATATATATATTTTTTTCTAATAAAAGTGTTATTTTATATGAAATACTCATTGGAATATTTTATTTTTTTAGAGTAAAATTTTTGAGAGTTTTGGAAAGTGGAGGAAAGCAAGTTCTCAAGAAATGTTTAATTGAACACCAAGTTTTTAAAGTATACTTTCAATTTCACCGAGTTTGTTTTAACGTTGACAGTGACACGCATCGCAATTGCGTTGATGATGGTAATGCTTCAAGAAGGAAGAGACACGCGACGCGGAGGAAACGAGGAAACGTCTCTGGTGAAAGCTTTTTAGACGAAGGAACAAAGAGACGAGGCAATAATGCCTCGAAATGCCGCAGCGTTCACCGCACCGTACGATTCTGATCTGCATCTGCCCGGTTATTACTCCTAAATTACGCATTGCCGGAGAAATTTCATACGTTGTGGCAACTTAATGTCATTATTCCGAAGTACAAACTCTTCTCACGGAAGAATACGACTGATAATGTGATTATAAAAGACTCGAAACGGATAACAAGTTACGTTCGATTAAAATACCTCACTTTGACAGGTTGATTTTTTTTAAAAGTTATAGAATCATTAGTTATTGAATTGGAATATAAGAAATATGATATAAAGAAAATATTCTATAAAATAAATTGGAGAATAAAGTTTTAAATTTAAAAAAAATATCGATACGAGCGTGTTACAATCAACAAAATCAACAATTTGATTTTTCTTCTTTTGAAAAATGGCGATTCTAATCTAAGCTAAGAGAGAAGAGAAGAATCTAGAAGAATTTTTTTTCACGTCGCGATAAGAAAATTATTAATCTAAAACTAAAAAGCTTCGAATTTGAATTTTATTTCTAACGCGCCACATGTATGACAATAAAATAATAATACGAGTGGTGTTGTTGCGTGACAAGTCGTTCGCTCCGATTAAGTTTTAACACGGCACGTTAGAAATCGCGCATTGTCGATCAGGTGCGCACAACCTTGGCCGTATTACGATTTATTTTAGTTGATCGTTGAAAAGAATGGAGACACGGGTTAATCGGCGTAAATTGTACGTGAATGCGTGGATTCGCGTAATTAAGAGGATGCATGAACCAACGCGTGTGTTACGATCCGTGCGTCAGAAGAGAAAGGATTTTACTTGATAAAACGAGCGGACCGCAAAAGGAGGCTGGCTTTATTGCAAGCCACCGCTCTCACGGTCGGTAAAAACGACCCGCTCTCGCTTTACAATACGATGAATAATTGATTTGCAGTTTCACTCTTTCGTGGATTACGTAACAATAAGGGAGGATAATTTAATTACTTGTGGATAATCGTAACATGATCAGTGGAGTTTAGATCGTCCCGTGAAAACAAAAATGGCGAACTTTCACTCACAGATGGCTTGGATTTTTGTCCAGATAATCGTGCCATTTTTATTTTTTTTTTACATATAAAAGACAAAAAGAGAGAAATTTTACAGTTAAAAAGAAAATCTTACGTCATTCATTACGTGTCTCAAAATAGAAATAAAGATTTTTCATAGGAACAATTACTTGTCAAACGTAAAACTTGTGAAAAATTGCCTCAAAAAAAAGAAGAAAAAAAAAAATCCTTCAAAGTTTCACTCTCGATAAAGTACTCGTCATCTTAAATAATATTTTAGGAAAAAAGTTTAGTAGTCTGGATTAGTTTCATATCGCAATTTGGAAGAACAAATTACATCGCGACTTTTTTAGCCACTTTAGTACTTGACACAATAACGTGACGGAAATCGTCACACCAGCAATAAAATAAAGTCGTGCTTTACGCCTTTTAAACCGGCCCACGGTCTCGCCACTTTTTCTTTCTCTCTTTCTTTATATACCACCGGCCATTTTTCAGAAAAAAACGCGGGAAAACGTGTAACAGTGCCTATCCCATTATTGCGGAAATCCAACGGCCATGAAGAGACAAGGAAACGACATCGTTCGTTCAATTTAATACCGCGTAAAAAATGATCGACGCATGACATTGGGAATATTTCGTTACGCGCAACCTGAGAACTTTCTAATCTTGCGCGTTTCTTTTTCTTTTTTTTTTCTCTCTCTCTCTCTCTCTCTATCGTTCGAGGTTGAAATACAGTTGAATGTCTGTGCGGATTGGCATCGCAATCGAAATTTCTCGTGGGTGGTTCAAATCGATGCGCGCTTTGAATATCTGTCGTGCACGATAGGAAAGAAAAGAAATACGCGTTTAATAACCGTGACGAGCGAATATAACCGTATATTCGACTTTTCCGCACGAAAGCAAGCTTATGGAAGTTATTTGCGGGCGGAAATATATTTTCGTCCTGGCCGTTCCCAGACGATCGTTTCGTGTTCGCTTATGCGCAATTTATACACAAAAATTTGAAACTTCGATTTCTTCAAACTCTGCCCTCTTTCCATTAAACTAGCATTCCACGTATATTCGAATAAAATAGCTTAGTATGCTTGGATATAATCGATGTATAAAACACTTTTTAACTTGTATATAAATTTATTGAAATATTAATATTCTCTAGAATAAAATAGTTGTATACACACTTTTGGATATAAATTTGTAATTATTATTTTTTTTTTTTTGTTTTAATTTTCACGGTAAAAAAAAAAAATCTCTTAAAATTGTCCACAAAATGCATTAATGGAATTACAGGACAGCATACACGTAACACAAGAGTAACGTTATCCTCGAGATACCTGGCTGGCTTTATCGCCACGATGCGTGACGAACGTTCGTTTACGTACGTTCCGTAAAGAGATTCTCCAGTCTTCGTCCCTATGTTCCCTGTCTAGATTGTCCATTGGAAATCGTGTAAAAATATATATGTAATTCTCGTGATTCTATGCGGTTTTTGTTAAGTCGCTAAAACTCGGTGAAATTTCTTTATTAAACGGATCATCGTCGACTGTAACGATTCGTTTCTCGCCACACTATACGCGATTCTTTTTCGTCACTGAACGTATTGCAATATACGTTAAATCGTTAGTTGAAGAATTTCAAACTTGTCAAAGAGTATTTTTGCGTAATGACTTAATTTGAAGATTCTTTTTTTGTTGAATAAAGATAGGTATTCAAATTTTGCGAATTTTTTAAATACTTACATGTAAAGAGATATATTATAAAGCTATCGATTGCGAAAAATTTTATTTCTCACAGAGTATAATTGAGAATATACATACATAGCTTTTATAATTCTGCCTTTATGTCTTCGAGGTTTGGTTAATTTTTTGCGAGATCGCCAAACGATTTTCGGGCTACTTATTTCGAAAAAGAAACGACGAATTATGTGTAATAAATTGGTCAGAATCCTCGACGAAGAAGTTAACAACTCGTACAGGAACCAACTCGAGCGTGCACCTATGCACGCTTCGTTTCGCTGAAATAATAACGAAGATGTTCGAGGCCCACCACGCCATCGCGGCATAACCAGGAATTCCATGTTCCCTTTTCCTTATATTTTTACCAAAAATTATGAAAATCATCTGCCGATAACGGTATAAATATTTTCTTCAATATGTCACAAATAACTTTAATTAATTAGGAATGATGGCTTTGCACGTAATTTTAAATAAAAATATTATATTAAATAAGCAGTTATAATTGTAAAAAGAATATGTAAATCTTTCTTGTCTATGGTCACGCGCCAAGAACAAGAATAGATAAGGATAGAAACTAGATAATGAGAAAAGGATAGAGATAGGATAAAAATTAGAGAATCAGCGCCATCTCCAGAGTGCTGCAAATGAAACTCATAATAGACAAGGAGAGCAAATAAGAATTGGCTATCAATGCCATCTCTTGACTATTAAAGACATTTCTTCAAACACAGGATAAGGTAGAATAGGAATTGAAAATTAACGCCATCTCTTGCGTATTTCTCAAAATATGATTCAATAAGGTATCTTTGATATTCGAGAGATGGCGATAAAGATCAATTCTTATTTGATCTTTTTGCTATTACGAGTTTCATTTACGGCACTCTGAAGATGGCGCTGATTTCCTAATTTTTATCCTATTTCTATCTTTCTCTCATCGTTTACTCTTCTTGTCTATCCTTACTCTCAGCGCGTGATAGATGAGATACGAGATATCAATTGAATATATTTTCATCATTTCTCATTGATAACTACAATTTTATTTTGAGTGGAATCAATATTTTAACTACGATATAAGAAATGATAAAATAATAATAAAATATTTTAATATTATCTCTTTTATAAATTACTATATTTTGCATGTCAATATACAAAATTTGTTAACTTACAATTTAGAAAATTATAGAAAGGAACACTTGTAATACATACAATTATGCTCAATTATAATAAATTAAGGCACAACTTTTTTTTAAAAAATATCATTTGAATTAATGTCCAGCACATTTAAAAATAAAAGTGCGACATTTTAACATGCAAATATATTTTATAATACGAAGCTGCCAAAACATGGCTTTCATTATTCTTAAAATACATTTGTATTACATTCAGATTTAATTCGTATATTATTTGAGAACAAATATTGTACGAATTATTCTCGAAAAATACGAACGTTTTAATATAAATATTTATAAAGAATATTTATGATTTATTTATCCTATTTTCTTTAACTATCTATCGTTTGCCTCTTTAAATTCTGCAAAAATGCAAATATTGAAGCATTAACAAATGTAAACTACATTTTGAGACAACGCATAGTCTTATCAGGTACTTGAAGAGTAAATTGGAAGGAATTTTTCCTGAGATTGCCAGTAGCGTTATTGGTGACTAAGTCATTGTCGTCATCCTTCACATCGATGTCCTCGATATCAATATTGAAATTTCGGTCACCCATTAACGTATTCAGACATATATTCATTTCCTTTATCTTTGAACGCACTAATATTTCCAAAGTGAACAAATGTTCGTCATGAGCTTCTGGTAGATAACGGTGCATAAAGTCTGCTAATCTGTACGTGACACATAAAATGAAATGTAAGAAAAAAAAAAAAATAAATAAAAAGAAAAAAAACATAAAATAACTTAACGAGTAAATCAGAACGACCGTATAAGGGAAAACAAACCGTAAAAGATATTCGACATTGTGCCCATTTGGACCTGAACACTCGAAAATTTGTTTTGCTATATTTTGAAGCGGTGCATCACCAAGCCAGTGTTCGTTTTTATTGGTAGCAATATAAATGATGACTGGAAAGTTTCTGTTTCCTTCACGACTATAAAATGTTGTAATTGTTGTCATATATCCTCCTAAAGTACATTCGCGATTTTCCAAATAAGGTAATGCTGTACTGTCTTGAACTTGAAATGCTCGACCGTAAACAACACCCTTATAAACAAAGAAAAGATTTATCACGAAACGGAAGCAATTCATTACAAGTAATGGAGATATTACGTTTACATTATTAATCAATAGTAATGATGCATAAATTTGAGGTTAACGATAAAAGTAAGTGGAATTACCTCTTTTTCCTCAACCAATGTAGCTACACGTCCAGGCTATAATAAAAATAAATAACAAATCACTAAATAAATAACCAATAATTTCAATTGCAAAGAAATTAATTGTATTTTTTACATCATAACGTAATCATGACGTAAGTATATAACATATGCATGCACAACATATAAAATCATGTATCTGCAAAAGATATTGGTTTCTACGAGCTATAACTGGTTTCACATTAATTGACAGACAACCGCAATACAAGATGAAGAGAAATTTTTATTTGATAAAAATTGTCTATGTAATGATAAAAGAAATACAATAGAATATAAAAAATTAAAATGAAATTAAAATTGTTAAACTATATGATTAGAAAAATATACTTCGGGTAATTAAATAATAATATATCAATTAGAGAAATTAGAACGCGCTTTAGGTGAAACTATATCCGATTTTCATCAGTCTTAATGGAAGCATCCGTAAGCATTTACTGAGCCGTAGTATCGTTCCGCAAACATTATACCGGATATTAAAAAAAATTTTATTATTAACTATTTATTTTATGATTTTCAAAAATATATTGAAAAATTTTTTAAATTGTTAAAATAAGAATATTTCTTTTTTCAAAAAAGAAAAATAAGAAATGTAATGTAAATATTTATATTATATTATCAAATATTCATAATAAACACATTTATTATAAAATGTGTTAAATAAAAAAACTCATCTTTACCATAACGGTGTGTGGAAGATTGCCAAGTCTTTGTGAAAGAATTCACGTGTCAAATTCATGAACAAGAAAATTAAAGATATAAATAGAACATCTGAGGTGAAGTCCGTATGAAAAATTTAGTTTGTCGTCGAACTCTATTCGATGTTTATATATTGTAAATGAAAATGAAAATATTTATATATCTATTAATATCATATATATATATATTTTTTTTTTAAAGTGTACAATATAAATAATATTAATATAATAATTTTATAATGTAAATGTATTTCGAAATTCTATGATACAATTAATGTTTTCATTTTTAATTTATTAAGAATAATTTATAATTTTATACATCATTAATCAACTGCAAATATTATTGTGAAATTTGTATATAGATGGATTTTTTACGAAAAAGAAGAATAATATAAATATTTATGAAGGAACTCTGAATTGATATTTCTTAAGCGTGAAAAAAGAGGAATAAAAAAAAATAAAGAAATTACAAATTTCTAACATTAAAAACTTACCTTTTCTATTGTTCCCCGATGCGTTGTATTTCCTTGCCAAAATCTTCTAATAAATCCTTTGATGTGTCCTACCGCGCTTTTTTTATATTTGAAACCTGGATGCCAGCACAAAGATCCATATCCGAACACCCAGAGAGAATTTTCATTATTGTTTCTAGCTTCCATTTTAAATTATTGAAAAGCGTGAAAAAATCGTAACTTTTTTCTTTGAATATTGACTAATTCTATTTTTATCTCCAAATAGAGCATATCTTGTCAAAATTTGTTTATATTCTGATAATTCTTTGATAAATATTTTTAATAAATCTAACTCGTGAAAATTTATTCAATTTTCCTTATTTTCATTATCATAATTTACTTAATTCACACGGATATTGTGTCGATATATTATTTAATTTAATATGTATTTTAAATAACTATGTCTGTGAATAGTTAAAATTATCGCATATGAAGAATGAATAGATAACAAAAATTATTTGTCCTTTGTTTGCCTTATCATTTAAGTATATCATTAAAGTGAATGCAATACGAAATAATTGATTTGACAAGCGCGACACGTGGCTTCACTATGATCTTACCCCAAAGACTGTTGCACTGTTTAAAGCTTAACTGTTCAGAAATTCACTCCCACTATAATATTCTAATTTATTTCCTCCCACTTTCGCTTGGTGATTTTACAGGATTATTATCCTATTCATCTGCCCAATAAAACGTTTGTTCTCTTTTTCGTCTTTTATGTGTCGGTTCTTCAATATCCCGCGTGACATTTTTCACTAATAAATTTTAATTATACAATAAATTTTTTTTATTAATTACTTGTATGATCAATTGATCTTTCGAATGTTTATTGAAATTTTATTTGATCGATATTTCTTTCGAAGAGCCGTCGAAAAGTTGAAAGCTTGATGACTAATTTTTTTTGTTTTCGAATGATTGAATGTTTTTGAACTGATTGATACAACTTTCGTAAATGTTTCATTGGAATTTTTATGATTTAAATTCACGACAGACATTGACGAATTTAGGAAATCCACAACATACACACCTCACAGAAGTTTGACCGAGACTGCCGGTTGTCGGGCGTATACTTTTACATGTAGAAAAAGATAGAAATACTAACGGAAGAGGGGAATAAGCACATATTATTAGAGAGAAAGAGGAAGACTATGAAAAGAAGAGTGAGTAGGAGGACGGATGAGATGGATGACGAAACATGAGGTACGGATTGACATATAATAACATTTATTTAAATTATATTAATATTTGTAAATGTATATAAATAATATTTACATAATATTTATCTATTACATAAATTATAAGAAAAAAATGCTTAATAGTTAAATATAAATTAATTTATTTTTATAAAAAAATTATAATATATATATATATATACACATATATATTGTTATTAAAAATAAATATATATGATATTTTATAGAAGATCAATTTCAATTCATTTTCAATTAATAATATGAATTTATAACTTTAAATTTAAATATAATAAAATTTGATAATTTTTTAAAGAAAGTTAATTTTTCTTCTGATGGTAAATATAATTTATATTTCTTCTTAAAAGATGTCGCTATTATTATAAAACCATAAATAATGATACCAATAATAGAATAAAAATTCCCTATGATTTTTGTAACTAACTTCCAAATCAGCTGGTGCTTCCAAAATCCGATTGTTGTTGACGAATGTTTGAATTGAATTTCCATTTTTTCGAATGACAGACTCAAAAATTGAATTTTGAATAGTGTTGAGACTTTTTTTTAAAGTGAGAAACTTTAACGAGATACATAATTTTTGTGCGAAGGAATTGTTTATTTCATATAGTTTCTAGTTAAATATATTTTATATCTTTTTAAAACGTGACCTGTTGCACACTTTATTAAGTTTTTAAGATAAACGATGCACAGGGATACTCCACCACCTTCTCCAGATATGAATGAGCAAATAGAAGATGAAGATATGATATATATAGGTGATGTAGAAGAAGTGATAGATGCATATGATGCAGGAGATATTGAAGAAGAAGATGCAATGGAGGAAGATCTTTCAGAAGGAGATGCAATTTGTGTTTTTACTGGTCATAAACGAGGTAAGAATAAAATTTTAATTTTTATAATAAGATTAATATTGTGATGATAATATAAATTATTATTTTATATTAAAATTTTGTAGGTTCTGTTTTTTGCGGTACTTTGAGTAAAAATGGAAAACTAGCTGCTACAGGTGGTGAAGAAGATAAAGCTTATGTTTGGGATACATCAACAGGAGAAATTATTCTGGATTGCACAGGTCATAAAGACAGCATTATTTTTTCAGCATTTAATTATGATGAATCATATTTAGCTACTGGAGATATGAGTGGTCTGATACAAGTTTGGAAAGTAGCTGATAAAATTAAAATTTGGGATTATAATATGGGTGATGCTACTGTTAGTTTATAGTTTTCATAATGAAATTACTATGTTGTTATTAATTTTAATAAACTGAAATATTATTATTACAGTGGATGATGTGGCACATAGCTGCAAATGTTTTATTAGCAGGATCTGTTGATGGTGAAATATATAT